CATTGCGGCGTACTGAAACATCCATTGAATGTATTTGAGTATTCAAGGTGAGCTTCAAAAGAAAATGATTTAAGCATTGCTCATTCTCTCACTGGATGAGACTTGAGAGGCAAGAGAAGCAGAAGACAGCACAGATTGTGTTGTGTGCCTTTGACAAAGAGAAGCTCTTAAGAGCCTCTTTTCTGGTGGGGGTGGTGGGCATCATAAAGTACTTGAGAGGCTGGCCTCGCATTGCAGACATGTTATCATAGAAAGAGACTGACGGCCTCGGATGAGCCCAGATATGAAAGTCCGCTCTGCACACAAAAGAAGATGAAACAATTTGACTGATGAACGCATGTACATCGGAAATTCAATTTTCGGAGTCACTGAAATTTGCCAAAACGTCCACGGTTTCGTTTCTTAAACAACACAACGCACGGTTGACGCCGCTTGAATTCAACAGCTGCGGCACGAATTAGCATCATACAACGAGCCTCTACCTTCGGTTTAATCACACCTGACAAGTTTTCAAAGACATGCACTTGCACCTCTTCTTAGCTGCAGTCTCGCAGTGCTGCAGGAGCCACTTGTGCTGGAAGCTCTGCGGTGTGTGCGAGTTCGGTCTGATGATGTAGGTATGTGTGTGTGTGTGTCCTTCTTTCAGGAAAGTGGTGGATTGTGTGGGTGAGCGGTGAAAAATGTGGACTGAAAAGGACGACGCGAAACCCACGGCTGAGATATTTCTTAGAGCACCCAAGCATGCTTGACCGATCTATGTACACAAACACCTCTCTGCTATGTCCTCCACGTCGCTGGACGCCCGTCGGACAGCAGAGGACCTCGGTGCCGCGCGGCCGTGGCATCGGGCATCGGGCCCGAGCCCCACGTTTCGCTCGCTGTGCCCCGGGAGCGACTTGGCAGGATCAGTGTCTCTGTGGCTGCACACAAAGGGCCCGGTGGTGGAAGCTCGTGCCCTTGAGCAGAGATCACATGAGCTCTCTCCGCTGGATCGCTAATCTTTACTCCACAGCAGACTGCGCCGCGTGTCGCGGACTCGTAGAGACACGCCATCGTACGGCGCCGTGGAAGGAGTCGCCGAGGAGCCGAATGGATGCCGAGCGGAGGTTTTTAGCTCAACTCCATTTTGGAGCGAGATGCAGCAGCAATACGCTTCTCGTCCTTCAAATGCACGCGTGCACTCACAAGATATAAATATTCATGAACCGTATATATATGGAAAAGTAAGAACAGCTGGCAGCACAAAATAATTGTGGGTACTAGAACCCATTCCGGGAAGAGGATGTCCATGTTGGAGCATGAAGCCATACACGATGGCAGTGATGTGCACACCAAGCTGCTGACTTTGACTACATCTTGTCCAATGTATAATTTATTTCAAGGAGCACTAACTAGGGAAGCCTTGAAAGTGCTGAGGAGGAGGGCAGGAGGTAAGCTAGAGAGCAGAGAGCAGGAAAGAGGAGAGCAAGCAGAAGAGAGAAGGAGGTAAAATGAGATAAAGGGAAGAGGAAGCATGGAAGAGGGGCCTGAGTGAGGGATTACAGGGGTGAAGGAGGCAGAGAGGACAAAAAATTATATATATATATATATATATATATATATATATATATGTGGAATTGGAAATGTGAGAGCAGAGAAGTGGAACGGTGGGTGACAACGGGGAGAGGAGTGATCATCAGAGGAGTGTGAGACTAGCGAGGAAGGGGGAAGGCGGTCGAGAGTTAGCAGGAACATGCTGTGTGTCCTCCTTTCCTCGCAGGAGACGCGTTCACTTTTGCCATCGTCCTTCTATCGAACGCGGGGAATTCGTTGGCTGTAGGAGGGCTCTTTACTGTACATCCTCTCTGTTCTCGCCTCTCAAAGATCAAATGGTCGTCCTGTGACTCAAAGGTCAAAGGTATTGTCAGGCTCGCCACCAAATATAAATGCCGTGACGTCTCCTCGAGCTCCGATGCCTTAATACTTAATACGGTTTCTTAATGTTATGTAATAATACTTCTGTGTGATGCAATGGCCATCACAAGTATCTGATTATCATTTCGATTTTTGAGCTGCACATATTGTTTTAATTGTTGATTTTTGGATTATTTTCTCAATGAACGTATATACGATGCCAGAGAAATGTTGATCGTTGAAGGTGACTGACCAAAATGTCCTGTTTTGTCATCAACACAAAGATATTTGGTTTAATGTCATTAATATTCACATTTAAGAAGTTGGGATCAGATTATTTTGGATAATTTTCTTCAAGTTCATCGATTATCAAAATAGTGAATTGATTAATTAACTATTAAGATTAATAGTTGACAGCTAATCGTTTTATCATTGCAGTCCTAATATATTTCTCATATTTTTGTAAAGGGAGGGCAGACGTTTGTCTATCCAATTCAACACTCGGGAGACATAGAATATAAATCTATAATGAATAATAAATGTACCTTTGAGCATTTGAGTGTGTCTTTTTTAAATAAGATGCCATAAGACGTTCGCGGCCGTTGTAAAGTAGTTTTTACTTTACAACGGCTTTGAACATCTTCTAGTGCTCAAGGTTAACACAATTTCATCAGTGCGTTTTGTGTTTTTGGAGTTAGTTTGTCCTAAAACTTGATGTTGTCAATGACAATTGACAACATCAAGAAAAATGATGATGATGTCACACAAGTTTCCAAAGCTTTAAAGATAGAAGACAGTTTTTTTCATATTTTCTCCAAACAATACTACTACTAATAATAATACTTCCTCAAGAACAAAACAATCATATTCAAATAATATAAACTCCTTCTTGGTCCCATTTTAAGTGGTCATTCTTTCTCGCAGAATTGCAGTAATTTAGCTTTGATTGCCATCAAAAAAAAGCTCTATTTGTTACCATACTATTGAAAATTCCTTTAAAAACAACAACAAAGTGGCCATTGTAATCGGTGGAGGAGCTTGTATTGTGTTGAATAGCACAACCAGCTGCTACTCAAAGCGGCATTTAGCCCATCGGTGGCTAACTTAACGTGCTGCATAACGGGTCATCGGATATTTGTCACTCACGGGCGGCTTCACCCACACAGCGAAACTTTGTTGCACCGGCCTGCATTGTTCACATAACCTGCTCCGGCATGTGGGTGTTTGGGAGCTGCTAACCCATCATCATCTGCTACGTGAAGGCAAGCCATACTCCCCACCTGCAATGCAGCCGGACTCCATTAAACTTTAATAACACATTTAAAGGAATACACCATTTTTTGGCCAATCTGATGCACGTGTTAAATTTGGTCACTGCTAAGAAGGGTGGATCTCCAATACTGAGAATACCTAGTTGCTAGTCTGCTAATACTTTTGGGTGAACAGCAGCTGATTGCATTGAGCCCGTGTGTTTAAAGCCACACGAGGCCAATAAACATCACATTGGTTGGTCAAAGACCTGTTTTACCAATCAGTCATTTACTCACTTTGGCGATTTAACGTTCTCTTTTATAACACAACAATCTGTCTCACAATCGCTTGGGCAGAAGTTTTCTTTGCCAGCTTTACAGCAAGTCTCTTTCTCACTTTGGTAGCGATGTATTCCGAAGCGAATATCCACTGTGGTCTTTGGTTTACAGTGTTAACGTATTTTATTTCCCCAGGCTAACCCAGTGAGTCACACTCAAACAGAATAAGATGCACGAGGGACTCGTGTTCCGGGCTTACAGAGAGATACCGCGACGTATTTGTCTTTTGTCACACTGCATCGAGCTGGCTAACACAACAGGCCTGTAGCAGCAACATTAGCTCAACAGCTCGGAAGTTAGCTCATTAAAAGTCGTGAAATTTAGTTTTTCTGCTTAAATATTTACATACGTCACGTAAACGGTTCTATAGTTAATGCTTTTTAATGATACATTTACACACTGTGAATGTTGCTCATCTCACTGCACCCACCTATCTATGTTTAACTGACCATCAATCTCTGTTGCCAAGGAAACTGAGAGGTTGATAAGCAAATGAATGTAATGTGCCACAGTTAGACCCAAATTTATATAATACACCTCCACCGACTTCGACTCTACACACACTTAGTGCAGGTTAAAATGTCAAATGATCCCTACCCTCACACAGCTGTGAGAGTTGCTGTGTGTGTGTGTGAGCACAATTTCCCACTTTTCGTCATCACTTCCTTCCAAAAAAACTGGTGCAGCTGCCACAGTTTTTTGAATCTGTATGTCCAACAGTGACATTGTAGGTCTGATACAGATTTAGGCCGTGTGAACGAGTGTGAGTCAGGCCACATGAAAGCCCTTTCATTCATTCTCTTTTCTTTTTTTTTTATTATTAGCCAATTTCATGACCAGCACTGCCTCCACAGAGCGTAGTGCTGACGCTGAGCACATGTGTATGATATAACACGTCGCTCATATCCTGTGTGTAAGAGGCAGATGTGCGCGGATGCACGATGCTGGGGAGGGAGGGGGGCTTCAAACATGCGTCTACGGTCGAGGTTTAAATAAAGCAGCTGGATGTATGTGCAGATTAGCATGCAGGATACCCTCCCGTGGTCCCTCCACCCGGTATATTCTGCAGCTCCGGCATGACACAAAGCCCCGCGACCCGGCGACTCAAGCGCCAGTCTCTCTCCCGGCTTCTACTCCATCCGGCACTGTTTATCCACTCACGAGGCATGACATCGAGAGGGAGATGCAGAGAGAGGCGGAGAGAGTCATCCACAGGTGTTGGAGAGGGGTGGAAGGGGGGAGAGATACCATCAAAGAGCATCCTGTCTATGCAACCCTCAGGTAGCCCAGATCACCGTGACGCTCTCCTGACAGATCCCCCACCCACCCCCCCCAAAAAACAGATCACTAAGACCGAAACAGAAGAATACTTTGATAATTGAGCAATGACAGAACAATGAGTGCTTCCCTTTCTTCTTCTTCTTCTTCTTCTTCTTCTTCTGTGTTCACATGCAGCTGTGGCGCCTCCCGCTCGTTCTCGCGCGCAGAGCTCGAGTAAGGAACAACAGATAGGCTTACCTTGGTAGTCACAATGCAGAGGCAGTCCATGGTACTTTGAACAAATATCGGGGTGTATCTCAACCCCCCCAACCCCCCACGACAGAGGGCTGAGACCCCACGCCCCTCTCCCCAGCCTGCCCCACTCCTGCACTCTCACTCTCGTCCTGCCTTTCCCCCCCCTTTTCTCTCCTTCCGTGAATCTGTTCTTTGACTAACTGAGCCAGCGAGGGAAAGAGAGGATGGAGGGAGGGGGAAACGTGCAAAAGGGAGGGGGGAGGGCCACAGGGAAATAAGAGAGAGTGAGCAAAGAAGGAGCGGAGAGAGGAGAGAGGGTGGTCTCGGGAATTTAGTATGAGAGAGGGAGAGAGCGGGAGAGGGAGAGAGAGAGAGAGAGAGAGAGAAAGAGAGGAGAAAAGGGACGGGGAGAGTGTATCCGCTGTTTGTTTGCTTTCTAAGGTGAGAAAGAAGCGGCTGAAAAGAAAGAGAGAAGACGGGGGTGATTATGAAAAGAGATGGAGGAAGGGGAGGATGGAGATGGAGAGCAGAGGTGGGGGTGGGGGGGGATAAAAAAAAAGGGGGGGAGGGAGGTTCACACTGTGGGACGGGGAGGGAAAAAGAGCAACAGAGAAAAAAGACAGCGAAACAGCAGAAGATGAAGAGGAAGAACTGAGGGAGGGGACAGTGGAGGAGAGAGAGAAAAGGAGAGGGAGAGTGGGTGAGTGCATGCGTGTGTGTGTGTGTGTGAGGGTGTGTGTGCGTGTTGCGTGTGTGAAGACGGAAGGAATTAGACCGAAAGAAAATGTGTTGAGGAGGAGAGTGTGAGTTACATATGCATTACAGAAAGACAAAGACACGAAGCACCGCGAGAGCTTAAACTTAAAGGAGATCAAATCCCACAACGAAAAGGCTTTAACGGGCAGATATAACGAGGCGGGAGCTGCACGGAGGGTTTTCTGCTTGTTGTAGCACTCTGCAGCTGTTGCCTTAGCAATGGTGCAGTTGTTGCCATGGCAATAGGGAGGCTTGTTGTCATATGGTCCCCATAGTGCCGAGGACGGAGTGGGAAGTCTGCAGTGCTTTCACACACTTGTGCATTAAAGTGTGTGTGCGTGCGTGCGTGCGTGTGTGTGTGTGCGTGTGTGTGTGTGTGTGTGTGTGTGTGCCTAAGTGCTTGTAGGTGTGTTTCTGTGTTAAGATGTGTGTCCACGTATTTAACACACTGACAGTAGGGAGGAGCACCATGACAGTCATGTTTAATCGGCAGACGTTACAATTATTTAGACATTAGCTATTGCTTCATACATCCACGTGACTCAACTCATGTTGAAACATGAAAGTCCCTGAGATGATTTACTGTAATTCATTATACAATCTCCTGTAGCTTTATCACCATGTTAACCATTTTGTTTAGCTTAAATGAAATGGTGTAAAATGTATGCACTCATCTCGGTTGCGCACTCTGCCTTTAAGACTCCGGACGGTACCACTCGAGGTTGTGAAAGGGTGGTGGGGGGGGGGGGGGGTGCCTGAGTGTCTTTGCATCATCAGTTCTCCCCCTCTCCTCCTCCTCCTCCCCTATCCCTCACCCCCGCTTCTCCAGCTCCCCACATTTGCCAGAGCAATGGTGCAGCATTAAAGCAATTCGAAACGATGAGCACACGTCGGTTCCCCGGGGTGAAGAGTACAGGCTTTGCTTGAATCGTACAGTGCAACACAGCAAACAGGCAGTTAGGTTAACAGATGGACACAGTTATAAATACACGCGCAGCCCTTCACTCGTGTCAAGCTTGTGTCATTAAATGCAAAGGAGGGCTGCCTTAATCACTCCACTTACGTACCTGTTGGTTTACACCCAGATTGGGTTTTGTTCTGTTTCTCCGGCCTCATCTTTCAAATGATAATGAACAACAAACTACACAGCAACTACAAACTAGACGGCATCTTAATGAGATATTCAGCGCAAATTCCAGCAGACGTAGTTTAAGCGATATTGCCCTATCGTCATGTATCATTTAATAGCTCCAACTATCCCTTAATACCTTCTGACAACTCTATTTATTATACATCCAAAGACTAAAAGGCCTTCAACTGACTTTTTGTAATGTTTTTTGGAGAGGATTTATCTTTTAAGAGAGTACGTTTTGTCGGTTCTCAATTATGAATAGAGAGAGACGATAATCTGATATCTGTTATCTCTCAGGAAGTTAGAGTTTATAATCTTAATAAACAACTCAAATCTAAATGTCAGGTTGAATACGTACATTTGTTTTATACAACATTTAGTAGCAGTGGGAAAACAAGAAAGGCACTAAAAGGTGAAATTGAATCGATTTGTGTTGGATGATGAGAATTGTCTTGCGGCGGCATCATTAGTCTTGAAGTGTATCTTCCATCATGTGGCAGTGTTGCAGTGCAGCAGAAAAGATCATTTTTTACTTTTATTTATGCTTATTTTCACTCTAATAAGTACAGGTTGCCCGTCACAACGAGACAATATCTAGATGGATGAATTGGTGGATATCGGTTATGATGTTACTTTAGCCAACAAGTAACAAAGAATGAACAGAATGAACTTGAGATATTTTAGGCGTCACATAGTTTATCCACCAGAGAGCACTGACATGTTGATATTTCACCAGTAAAATCTCGCACCAAATCAAAGGAATCTCTATCAAAATTACTTCATTAAATTGTTTTTTGAATTTTAATCTAACAACTATTATTGGTATCGGCCTCAAAAATTATAATTTCATTTCCCATTGTTGTCTTCCTCTTATTTTGTCTGAACAAACAAGTCATTCACTTTATTATTGGATTAGAAAGAAGAAATATGCTAAACCTTCTCGTCTCAGGTTGCATAAAGTGATGTACATTATCTTGCTGTAGTCTCACGATGGCCATTTCTCACATTGCATCCAAAGCTCTCTTTTAGTAAAGAAAATTAACCCGAATACGGACTTTATCTCATGTTTACCTTTTGCAGTCTAAGTTAATTGATTCAAGTGGTTTTCTCTCAAACAGAAAAGCTTTTTGATTGCAAAAGGTATTTTTCCCCAGACAATCTTTTGTTGTTGTGCTGCAGTGGAGAGAAAAGAGGGAATTTAGTATTTATACAGGAGGAAGATACTTTTGTTGATTTATTTTTTTTATTAAGGCTGGAGCTTCAAATTAACTTCTAATAAACATGGCAAAGCAAGTCAGGGGCAAATGTTGGGATGCGCCTCTGGAGCAGAGATGCAAGGACAGCCCCTCATATGGCTTTAAAGCACTGGATCGCTCCCTCGCTCGCTCACCGCAACCTACATGAAACTATCATGACGTGTCATTTAAATTTCCCCTTTTCTTGGTCACGTGCTCTGCAGCCCTAGCTGGCCTCGCCACATCTAGCAGCATCGAAACAGGAAGTGGTTAAAGGCCCACGCCTTCATGCTCGATGTGATTGGCTGCTTGGGCCAAGTTGGACACTGATAGTGTCACAGTGATTTCTTTATTAAGTCTGGGAATCGGGAAAGAAGAGTTGATTAATTATTAATTTCTGTGTATCGACTGATCAATAAATCCTTTGACAAATACCTTCAGAATGTTTTAGAAAATCACTGAACTGTAATCCCTGCTTCCCTCTGCAGTACGACACCACAGCGTAGGAGGCTCCCGCGCTCCGTTGTACTACGCTGGTCCTTAGCTGCCAGCAGAAATGAGTTTACAAAATGTCAGGGACAATTATCCACTTATCCTGTCTGATGACGTGTGGCTTTTTTCATTTTTGTTATTCCATTGAACAGCAGCCGTGATGACTTGACCGCTTCCTCCTGCATTACTTCCAACGTGAGACTGAAATATCTCATAGTTCAAAATGAATCCTGTGAGCAACAGTTTCCGTTAATGTTGAAAACACATTTGTGTGAAGTCAAAAACATTTTTATGCCTTGTCAAATATTTTGGAAACTGGGAGCAAATCGTATCTCCGGTGTGTGAATGCATCATAGTTAATGTTACTGTGTGTGCCAGCATGTCTGTGTGACGTGTTCAGACGTTCTCTACCAGAATATAGGACTTTTTGTGTAAGTATTTGTTTGATTCAAGGGCCGTGTACTGCACATAGCACACTTCCCTCAGAAGAGGATCCTAATATGGCTGACCTGTATACAAGATTATATAATTCCAGTCTCAAGTGAGCAAGGGGCTCTGCGCTCGCATTTCTTCTGCCGAGGCTTGATTATTCTTCTCACGTTCTCAAAGTTATAATCCTTCCGGTGCACACTATCAGCTTTAACTGTCTGTTTCAGGAAAACAGCCAAATATTGATAATGAAAGTAGGTGAAAAACACAAACCTTCCATCGATACTACACACCCCCACGCACACAAAAACACCAACACACACGGGCACACACTTACACGCTCTGTTAAAAATATATCACGCTAGAAGCAGCTAAGAGGAAAAACCTCCCCCTGTGGAACCAGCTCCAACACAGAGAACGTCTCCATTGACATACATTCACAAGCCTCCGCTGTTATAATTCTGCGTAAAGATTCAAAGAGCACTCACCCATAAATATGCTGCTTCCATCCTCCGGTGCCGCTTTGCTCAAACGCTAAAGTCTTTTGGCTCTGCGCTTTGCCTTGCGACCAAGAAGTAGGCCAAGGACAAACACTGGTCATCTAAGCGGGCTAAACCCAAGCGGAGGATTCGGATCATGAGGCTGCCGACTTCAGAAGTGGACCAACTTTCTTTAGAACTGCGTCATGGCAATCGCTGTATGTTATTTAAGAGATTTGCTTTGATGGCTTTTCAATTAGTTTAGTCCTGAAATAGCACTTGAGAGGTTGACTCAAAGAAATCAAATTATTTCAAATTTACTTTAAATTAATTTACACGTATTTAAATCAATCATGTTTTCTTTTTGCTTTTGCAAGGAATAGCTATTTAGCATTGTTTGTATATTAAAACAATTGTCGCCTTCTACCAAGCAAAAATGTTTTTTTTTTCCCCAGCCCAAAAATATTCAGCGGGAATGAAAAACCGAGAGAACCGAGCCAAACAAGGCCGGGGACACCCACAGGTGTCTGCAAAACTCGCTCGAGGAAGTGTCACTTTTTTTTGGGGGGGGGGTGTTGTTAAGGGGAATCATTGTGAGGAGGGTTTTGGCAGTCATTGCCTGCTCTCAGTTTTTTTTTTACAGCATGAATTTCCCTGCAGCTTCCCTGAAGTAGACTATACTTAGTGCAGGTGATGACTGCGACGCGCGAGCTCCTCAGGAAAAAGGCTGCAGTTTTTCTTCCTGAGATTTTTAGTGTGACCCGAGGCAGATGTTCGCTGCTCTGGC